TATAATTTTATGTATAAATATGCATATACTGAAATTGTTTATTATCAGTTGTGTTGAATGATTGATGAGTCATTTTTTATGCAAAAATATTTGATAATGGAACATGTAAATATCTACTTAAATGTCCATGTGTTCAAGTCGCTCATATTCAGGCGCATAAGCATGTGATACTCTTCGCAAATTATTTTATACAGATATTAAATTATCCATATTTATTGGTCATACTGGATGTCCCATTTTCATCGCCCTTTATGCCTAAATAAATAATGGTTATTTACTGAATTTAAATTTTAATATGGCCATGGGTGATGCGAAGTTGAAAAACAAAGGCAATAATCGAAAAGTAAGCTCGTACTGATTGATGGCAAGAGAAAGAAAAGAAACGTGATATCGAAATTCATGTCTGACAAATGATTTCGTGGGTTAAATGTGAGATTAGCGAAATAAGTTTTGGCTCACACAATAGTTGAATTAGGACCTATACATTTCCTCCAACCATGTGCTTCTCTACTCTATAGCTGTATTCCCATCACGAAGCCTCGACTGAATATTGCACCACAATACACCAGTTCAATCCTGAATATTTGATCTGATTATACTTAATAACTACGATAGCCATTGGTATGACATACACACAAAAAGGAATCCAAAACAAAAGATACGAAAATAAATAACTGTTGTGGATGCACAGTAAGTTAATGCCAAAAATATCACAACAATATACTCCAAGTAAATTTCAGAATAAAGGCCTAAGAAATCATTGGGTTTGCCAATCATTTGATTGATTTCATCGCGATGACTTGAGAGCTTTGTCCCACTTTTCACATCCATCTCCTACTCAAAAGAAGGATAGATTACTTGATTACATTGCAATCAATCCCGCAAGCCAAGCACCAAAATGCTATGTGTGCAAATATGAAAGTTGGCCAACAAAACTGCAATATATTAAACCAAGTTTGCCGACAAAACTACAAAAGAAATGCTAAGCCAGCATACTAACAGAGGATAAATATGAACTGCCGGAAGGATATCAACGCATTTGCGTTTCACGGCTGAGTCCAAAAGCCAGCCAAAACGGCTTGTGAGAAACAAAAGACCTATGTTACTAAACAGTAGTGATGCACAAATATAAAAACATGAGCAACTGCAAGGCTTATTGCATGGTAGGCATATGTTAATTTGTAACTGCCCAAAACATTTGTTAAGGTGATCCGATCGCAGTGTTAATTCCAAGAATTCAATTTGCTATTTTGTTTATCAACTACATGCATCTTAACAGATTGTGAACAGGTTTTATTCCGCACATCAATTGAATTTACCGAGTTAAAATACAATAACAACAAGCCTATATTTCACTAAGTGGAGTCAGCTATATGAATCTTTTTTCTCCATTATGTCCTTAGTGTCATATTTTCATTTAATTCTAATAAATTAAGATCATTTTTTATACAACAACCCAACTCTTTTTTAGGCCTACTTTTGTATTTCATAGCATAAGCCAAATCTAAAACATCTACTGTCCTAATAGGGAAATTAAATGATCGACGTTTAATGTGACCAAACCATCTAAGGCGATACGAGTTAAAATGAGTGTGTGTGTGGCTCGCCATGACTCTTCGTTTATGAAATCTTTTGTAAGTCTCCAAGGAACACTTTGATCC